TGTGTAGGAATATACCCAATGACCAAGTTTAATTTGAGACTTAGAACCAACCAAGATGGCATCTTTTCTCCTATCCATGCTGGAACATTTCCTGTAAGCTTATTCTCTCCCAGGTCGAGGGTTTCTGTAGGATCAGTTAAGAAAACTGATTCAAACCAACATAAAACTCAAGAAATGAATCTTAAGAAACATGTGAAAGATGAAGGAAATGACATAAAACGAGCTAGAGATAATGCTCAGATTTTTTCTCACTGATTTTCCATACATATTACATCAGTTTTTGACATATTCTTTTATACAGAACATTTCCAACACATACAATATTCACCTACAATTTAATAATAATATAAACCCCATAAAGTAAAGTCATGGTGCTGCATACAATTAATGCCCGCCTACATTTTCAGGTGAACAATTAACATCAAAAGGAGATAGAGATTACGTTGGAAAATCAACAAAGAGACTTCTCAGCAACTTAATTGAACTTGAACTGAACATGAACAGTTACTGGTTGCACTGTTTCATTAATCTTCAACAGTTTCCATGACTGTTCAATTCTACATGGCAGGTGAGAGTTCCCCAGAAAGATTATTCATGCCCTACTTTAAGAACTGGAGTGCACTCAGAGAAGCCAAGGAGTTTGGTATCTGCCTAGATAAACTATTGTTTGACATGTCTATAAGATACACATCAGGTATGTTATTCCAGACGTTAGGAATTTTGCCAGTCAAATGATTATTGGAGATGACAAAAGTGAGCAAAAAATTCAGCTTTCTAATGGACAATGGAATAGAACCACTTAGAGAGTTGTAAGAGATATCAAAATCAGCCAAATTAGGCATTTTTTGGCCAATATCGTGGGGAATTGCTCCAGAAAACAAATTATTGTCTAAATGAAATGAACTTAGATTTGATGACAATACTGGCAAAGGACCTGTGAAGTAATTATAGTTCAAGAAAACTATACCCAAGGGATTGAACTATATAGTGTTTGGCACTGTACCAGTTAACTGATTGTAACTGAAGTCCAGTTCATCCAGAACCAAATCTAACTTCCAAAACCACTCTAGTATGGTGCCTGAGATCCTAGCATTCTAGACTGATACAGAGTTCAACTCATTTTGATTTCTTAACCATGGAGGAAATTCAGGGCCTACTTGGCATGATTGGAGGTTGAGGTATCTAAGTTTAAAAGGAGGAATCCAGTCAGAACTCACATTGAAAATCAAGGTGATGTTTCGGTAGGTTTGGACAATGGATAGCTCTTTTAAGCTTGTGAGATTAGAAAAGTGAGCTTCTGTTAGGACTCCCTCCCACTGATTATTTTTTATATCTAGGTAAACTAATGATGAGAGTTGTCCAAGGCTGGCTGGAATTGTTCCTTTCATTCCATTTTCTGAGAGATAGAATTCCTGTAGGGAAGACAAATTCCCAATAGATTCAAGAATTGAACCAACAAAAGGGTTCTTCATGAGTGAAAGACGTGTTAGGTTTCTCAAGTTTCCCAGGGAATCAGGAAGAAAGCCACCCAGTTCATTATAACCCAAATGCAGTGACTCCAAGCTATAGTTTTTGCATTTAGACAAAGAATCAGTGAATTCAGCTAGGTCACCACTAATTTGATTGAAAGACAGATCAAGAACATGCAAATTGCAGAGGCTTCCCAGATTCTTTCTCGATAGCTTGCCTTGAATAAATGAATTCTCAGACAAGTGAAGGTGTTGAAG